AGAGAAAAATCATTATGAATGAAATCAATCTTAGATTTAAGACGAGGGTTAGAAAGTTTTTCGTCAATGGTTAAAGAAGATATTTCTTCTTTGAGAGAGTAAAGATGGAAAGTTTTACGATCGATACGATCTTGAAGAATATCAAGAAACCGTTTAACTGGTTGGTCAATAAACTTGAAGGTAAGGGCTTTATTATTAAAGGTACCAGTAAGACCATGCTCATTAATTTGAGTTATGGGATAGAGTTGGTATAGAAAGGGAAGACCAAGAATAATTTCATGAGAAATGACCTTGGTTAGGAGAAAACTGGTTGTGATGCAACAACCTTGATTGCAAATCTTTGCATTAGAAAGTTTAAACTTGATATCAAGAGCACCTCCTCCCGCATGAGAAAGGGAACAAGAAGTTTTTTCAAAAAACCTACTGGGAATAAGTCCCTCTTGGATAACGTTCAAATCGGCACCGCTATCAATCATTGCTATAAATTCTTTCTGAAAATGACCATCTATAAGAAGAGTAATTTTAGTAAACCATTTTTGAGTAATCATTCGGCTGATAGTAGCAAGAGTAGCATTATCCGAATGCGGGGTTGTATCATCAGAATGTTGAGTGGAAACAGAAGGAGAGATATGTTCAGGTTCCTTAGAAGGAACATGAAAAGTAGCATTCCTGACTAAAAGATCTTGACTTGCAGAAACAATTGCAAGATGTTTATGAAGAAGAATATTGTCTTCTTTCAAAGCAGTAATTTCTGACTTAAGAATGGTCACTTCTTTGTGAAGATCAGTAACAGAAATCATCGTGGAAGAAGAATGTTTATGCTGAAGAAGGCGATTTAATTCTTTCATCGAGTAATCAATATTATTGATAGGAGAATGAGAAGAAATAGTGGAAGAACTGGGTTTATTAAACTCAAGATTCTCTAAAATCTCAGAACAAATCATAGGATCTTTAATTTTTTGTAAAAGTTTTAAAACATTTTCATCGGTTAAGACATTAATATTCAGATCCTGAAATTGAGAAAGGAGTTTATAAAACTCATCATTGTTGTCAGTAGAAGTGTTATTTTGAATAACATTGAGACAGTTTTTAATACAAGGCTGACCAATAGCGCAAGTATCACAAGGAGAAGATTTTAAATCTTCAGAGTCAGAAGATAAATAAGAGTCATCTTCACCAATGACATAAGTACTACTATTAGTAGAGCTAGAATCAGAATGAGAATGAGTATCAGGMTCATCATCAGAATTTTTGAAATTCAGAAAAATGTTTAAAAGAGAATCTTTCGTATTCTGATCAATATTTAAATTATTAATTTTTTTCTTGGTCCAACAATTTGCTGAAGAATGGCCAATCTTGCCACAATTTTGACAAACAATCTTGTTTTTCTTAAAACCCTGAGAGTTTTTGAAAGGTTTTCTATGTTTGGAAACTTCAGGTTTTGTAGAGGCTTCAGCTCTGTTCGTTTTTTGCAAATCTTTGTCAAAAGGTTTTCTCTTAAATCTTTTTTTATAATGGCGGTAACCGGAATCTTTATCGCGAGTCTTATGAAATTTTCTTTTAGGTTTCTTATAAGGAACCTCCATACCAAATTGGTCACAAAAGTCACCAAGTTGTTTTCGTTCAAGTAAATTTTGCTTCCTGATTTGATGTTTTAATTTCAAATCATTGCAAAGRGAAAGACCTTCTGCAATACAAGTGCTGATTAGCTGACCATAGGTATAATCATCATAGTTAACARAAATATTATCCTTTTTAAGAATCTTACGGACTCTTTCAGCAAAAAGATGAGGAAGACCATCTATGAACTTGGCTTTCCAATGACTGCTATTACAATCTTTTAATTCAAAKATACGGGAAAKAAACGTATCTTTATACCAGCGAAACTCTGTAAGAGTCTTGCAACAAAGATTACTGATCAAAGTTCGAATATTTTCACAGTTATCAGAGAACCGACCAGTAAAATGCTCTRTAAGAGTAAGGACTAAGGGATAGACAACATTGGTTGTTTCTTCACCATTTTCAGTCTTAACAGAGTCAAGAATTTGGTCTTTCTGAACAAGGGGAATATAGTTATCCCACCAACCTTTGAGTTGCCCAGTAAAACCAGCTATAATCATTTTGGCAATACTCTTATCATTATTGCCTGTGTTTTTGCACACTGTACTATACATGAACATGCGATGAGCCATATTATAAATATGYTTATCAGTAAACCCATCAAGRCTCCACTCATAAATGCATTTGCCATTATAACTATTGTTAATAATGTACTCCTGTTCTTCATGAAGAACATCCATAGGAGTAGGGCGATTATARTAATATTTATTAAGATTCGGAGTCTTAGCCCATTTCATTTTATGAATTTGGTTATTTTGTAAACCATYATCCGARTTTTCTAACCTAGAGTCAGAATGGGAWTCCTTATTAAGCATGGAAATGGATGGYTTAGAAATATGCAGATGTGAAAGCTTTAGATCAAGCTGTTTCATAAAATCTTCAGCCGGGGATTTGAGTTTGAAATCTGTTATCTCAGGGGGAGGCTGAATAGTATTAGAGGTTAAAATAACTTTCTCAGAAGAGGAGGAAATATCATCAGCAGGAAGATCAATTTGGTTTTGCTGATTTGTCTCAATTTGAGAAAWWWWTTTTAAGATTAAGGAAATATTATCCTCAATGGAAAAAAGTTGTTCTCCAATAATCTTTAACAAAAGATTAGAATAATTCTGCTTTTCCAGTAATTCGTTAATATGTAACGAAGTAACAGAAAGAGTATTATCTTTGATAAGATTAGAAAAAGCAGAGAATCGGAAGAAAGAATTATTGTTTTTCATAAGAAAAKGAGACTGAGGAGGATAAATAGTAGATTTAATATCCCCATTRAGGAGTTGATAATCCCTTTGAAGAACATTTATAAAATGTTTTACATGAGTATGAAAAAACCAAGGAATAAAAGAGAAAGTCTCATTTTCCTTAGTGCAGAAGGCATAAAACTCTGCAGAGAAATTAGCAATTTCTTCTTTTGAAAAGTTTTCAACATACCAAGTCCTGAAAGGAGCCCATTTCGGATTACCATAATAATCGTTGCAGACAAGTTGTCTAGCAGGAGAACCATGAGTGAAATCAATTTTTCCCTCACTAGTGACCCAACTTCTCGAAGAAGAAAAATTCATTAAAAACTTAGAGGGTAAAATCAGACATGGTCTCTATAGCCTTATGAGGTTGTCGGATATTAATGTTACTTGCTTGAGTAACTGGATTGTTATGAACAATTCCATTTCTATGAACTCGAAGTTCATCAATAGGTTGTTGAGAAGAAGAATCAATATGCTCTTCTGGCTCAGAAGATTGAGCCTGAGTGTCTCGCAAATAGGAGGTCGAGGCCCTAGAAGGCTGACTAGCTTTAGTTCCAAAAGGAGAGATAAAGCTATGAATTCCATGAGACAAAGAATGAGACCTTAAAAGAGGTCTGGTCTCAGTATAAGGAATATTGCGAGGATCATCGAATTGAACATAGACAGTTCCATCATCTGTCTGAGTGATATTACTAAAATCACTTTGAACAATCGGTTGTCTAGGAGTATTCCTAGCTAGAAACCATCCTTCAGGGAACACAATTTCATCCCATTTGATAGATCTTCTGGTTTGGATCTTAGATCTATTATAATTGGTTTCTATGWGAATAGTCTCATTAATATCCTTATCAACTCTTTTACATCTAGGGTTAAGAGTAAATAAARGCTTAAAATAGATTCTATAACAAATACAGAAAACTTCTGTTCCTGCAGAATAGTTATAACCATTAGTTTTAAYATTTAATGTTAAAGCATCAAGAATATTAACATCAGTTAATGAAAGACTTAAATTAGGATAAACATCAAAATAGACTGGGCCATGTGCCAGACTAGATTGGATCATTCCAATTAAGGATTGCTGCCAATTKAGATTTCTTCCATCTCTAAGAGCTGCAAGAAAGCTTTCTGGTAATCCTTCAAGAGTGAGAGGTTTAAATGCAATTTGCACAAGACCAATGTGTAAAAACTTWTGAGTCTTTAAATAAGRCATAATATCTTTTTTATTAAGAAGACGAATCATCATTTCATCTTTATGAARAGGAATTGAGGATTCTGTGGTTTTAACAATATGTTTTAAACCAAGTTTTTCAAAAGTGCCTATTTTATAAATAAGTTTAGGCTCAACTCTTGGAATAGTCCAATGATCCAGTCCATCAAGATTTTGAGGAATATCATATTCCTCTGTCATACTGTTATGAACAGTATCATCACCTCCAGATCGAAATAGATTCATAAGAATCACAAACTAAGGACTATAACTTAATTAAATGATATATATATATATATATGTATATTAAATACTAATAATAATTAAATATAATATATTTTTAAAATTGATTTGATGTTTTCTAAATTTTAAAGTGATCCCAATTTCCAACAAACTCAACCCCTATAAGGGGTGCCATTAGCACCCCATACAAAAACTGACCTGACACAATTAAAAATGTAAATGGATTGCATCGACTTGGATGGTCTAATTTTGAATTGGTGATGGTGATGGTGATGGTGATGGTGTGGTGTTAGGTTGAAGTTACAGAGTGACGATTGATTGAAGGTTCACATCCCCTGGAGAAATGAGCCTGTTTATTTCAGCAGCTACCATCACCAACCAACTTTGTTCGCCACCACATCACCAAAACGACAACTTCTCTCGGAACCTTTCAATCCCCACAAAATCCCACACCCATACATCTGCTCATCAATCTCTTACAGTCTCTTCATGGACCTCATCCATCGGTCGTTACTGCCGAAACGGCCGCTTAGACCATGCTGCTGCCGAGTTCACTCGCATGAGACTTGCCGGAGTCCAACCCAATCACATTACCTTTGTCACTCTTCTTTCCAGCTGTGCTGATTTCCCCTTGCATGCTCTTTCCTTTGGAGTTTCGCTACACGCTCTTGTCTGTAAACTCGGGTTTCATGCGGATGACGTCAAGGTGGGTACGGCTATTATTGATATGTACTGTAAATGCAATCGGGTAGATCTTGCTTGCTTGTGTTTTGGGAAGATGGGTTTTAAGAATAAGGTCACTTGGAATACTCTGGTTGGTGGGTTGATGAGAAATGGCGAAATTAATAGAGCGGTCCAAGTGTTTGATGGAATGCCTGAGAGAGATGTTATTTCATATACAGCGTTAATTGATGGGTTTGTAAAGAAAGGTCATTACGAACATGCGTTGGAATGGTTTCAAGAAATGCAGACTTCTGGGATTGAACCCGATTATGTTACCATTGTTTCTGCACTATCTGCGTGTGCAAATCTTGGAGCAGGCGGATTAGGCTTATGGCTTCATCGAGTTGTTTTGGAGAAGAATATGAGTGGCAACATTCGGGTAAATAATTCATTGATAGACATGTACTCCAGATGTGGCTGCATTGAATTAGCTCGTCAAGTATTTCACAGCATGGCCAAACACAATCTAGTCTCTTGGAACTCCATCATCGTTGGTTTTGCTCTTAATGGAAATCCTGAAGACACTCTTAAGTATTTCCATTGGATGCAGAAAGATGGTTTCAAGCCAGATGAAGTGACTTTCACTGGGGCTCTTACTGCTTGTAGCCATGCTGGCTTGGTTACCGAATGTTTGAAACTTTTTGACACAATGATAAAAGTTCATCGAATATCCCCTAGAATCGAGCATTACGGATGTTTAGTAGATCTTTATAGTCGTGCCCGCATGTTAGAAGAGGCCCTGAATGTTATAGAGAATATGCCCATGCTACCAAATGAAGTTGTGTTGGGATCAGTTCTAGCAGCTTGCAGAGCTGCTGGAGATATTAGATTAGCTGAAAAGTTGATAAGGTTTATAAGCGAACTGAACCCTGGCGGTGATTCAAATTATGTTCTTCTTTCAAATATATATGCTGCTGGTGGAGATTGGCAGAAGGCAAGCGGTGTGAGGAAGAGAATGAAAAATAGAGGTATAGAGAAGATTCCAGGTACGAGTTCAATTGAAATCAATGGTATAGTTGATCAGTTTGTGGCTGGGGATAGGTCCCATGTTAAGTCGGATCATATTTACGAAATGCTACAAAATCTATCTTGTGAGCTAATGATTTCTGGCTATGTTCCAGAAGTTAATGCCAGGGAACAGTGCGAGTGAGCTAGAAAAGCCAAACCAAATATATCCCACATGGAAGTGGGGTCTGGGAGGAGAAGATGTACGTGGACCTTATCTATCCTGAAAGAGTAGAGCAGCTGTTTCCATGAAAACTCCCGGCTTGTAAAAAGTGTGACAAAGAGAGTCAGATAAAGAAGTTTTGAAAAGCTGGCTAAGAGTAAGCAGTAATTGGAATTTAGCAACTGAGCTAGGACGCCTGGTGAAAACTCAATCCCTTGTAGATTTGTATTTAAACTTTATGCATTCATTTGGTATCAACTGCCTTTTTATCTTTTGAAGCTTTATAAGTGTCTATATTCCCTTTATATCTCCTGTTCCATAGCCATTATTATTTTGGTTGGTAAGCAGCTTGCTTATAGGTAATAGATTATACTTTAGCAGTCAATTTGTTAACAAACCTCTAGGAATTTGTGCTCATGAAGGCCTAATCAAGAAACTTACTATGATTAAACATAGAATGTGTGGTCGAAACACTTGGTGTCCAAACCATGTCACAATCTTTATTACTTGGAAGGCAATCTTTTGATTCTTGCAGAATGTTTCTTCAGATGGTAGAGTAGTGTTTTGAACTAGCTAATTGTATATTGGTGATGAGGTTGAATAAGTTACAACCTCTTGAATATCTGTATGACTTGGAATTTTATTGAGAAGTAGTAGAACTATGAGCAAGCGATAGAAGGAATTTGAATGTGATTTTTGCTAGAAAGTTGTTTAGTATACGAAGGTTCAAAGTTGACATTTGAAGTAAGAACGGAATGATCCTTTTTTTAATCTCCAAAAGGGAAAATATTATTAATCTCCATGTTTGGCAACCATAAACTTGCTTTTGAGCTTATCAAAAAGCTCCTTTCAGTTAGCTGTAAGCTAGCTCTTTGAAAAACTACACCATCGATTAGCGTTGAAAAGCTTCAGGGGCTTTTTTCTAATTATGTGCTTTATGTTTTTCGAATTAAAAGAGCCCTTATAGAAATAAGGAATGTTCCAACACATATACAAGATGGACCTTGTCTAGCTGATCTGGAACTCCAGCAAACAACGTTTCATTCTTGACAATCAATGATTGCTTTTGTGGAAATTTGTCCATTCACTAATGGCCGGTGTACAAATATGAGGTGGAGACACCAGCATCTGATCAGGGACTGTTGGTATGAACTAAGGAGGCCATCAGGCATAAGTTTTCTTTCTACTCCTTTTCCTTATCAAATGACGAGTCAGTCCCGTCTGCTTCTAACGCTACAAAGCTTTTCTCCTTTTGGGATTTTAGCTTTAGGTATTTGGTATGGTAATATCCTTCACCTTTTGTAGCAAGCCTTATCTTTCAGTGGCTTCAGTATGCATTTAGATGCAAAGTGGCCAGACTTTCATCGTTGTGACAAACAGCTTTTCCCTTCGGTAAGCCACCTCATCAACTCTTTCTCTACCAACTTTCTTGTTACATGGCTTGGGAGCCCCCTCGCTTGAATATGGACTTCCTTGTGAATCTTTTGTACTTCATGGCTAACATAGCCATGGAGTCACCAAGATAATGTAATGTCCTTTCACTGTCTTCGTCTTCACCACCATTGCTTTCATTGGTGGCAACCTATTCTTCCCCTTCAACATATTTCTAGATTTAATGTCTACTCTTAATGCTTTAGTTGCAAACGCTAGGCCCATAGATTTGCTCTGGTCTCATTCACTTTACCTCAAGAACGATTCACTTCAAGTTCATGATTCACCATATTTCTCTGGGCTTAGAGGTGAACAACTCATACTGCTGAATGGAGAAGTAGTTATTTTTTCTTCCTTACTTCAGCAGTTTCTTCAAATTGGACAAGTAAAGTGTCCTATGTTTCTTTTGTTGTGTGACAGTTGATGACTGAGTGGAATATGCCATCTAGGAGGGACATGATGAGAATGTTTTTAGCTTTGTCATGTAAGAGCAAGACAACCTTTTTAGTGTTCTTTTCACTCAATCTGATTTGTTCTTTAACTTGATACCTTTTTGGAGTTGTAGGAACATTGTCAATGATAAGAGTCTAGAAATGAGAACCATTGGGATAAATGCTCCATCAGTTTTAGTATAATAGAGGTTCATGTTAATTCAGTTAAGGAAAGCTATCATATGCCTTTTCTAGAAAGATAAGTTGTCTCTTATAATCCTTGGAGGTTTTCCCAAAGAGCCATTACAGATCTGATTAATTTATTTAATCAACTGCCCTAATCACAGGAGCAAACCTATGAAGACTTGAGACGTTTGAAATCGTTCCTTGAAGTCTTCCTCTATCTTTGAGTGAGAGGAGGACAACCATGCAATGGCTTGTCAGAGGATGATGGTAGCAAATCATCTTGGATGATTTTGTTGACACCTTCTGGAGTTGTTTTAATACTAGTCCCTTATGAAGTATCGAATGCCCCATAATGCATTTAATACAAGCCATAATGTATTTAATGCAAACCATGTTGCACTAAATGTTGCTTTAATGGTGTCCCATGTTTTATTGTACTATGGTACCGGGTTGACCTTTTTAGCTCTTCTACCAACTTCACATGGGTCCACAATGCGCCTGGCCCCCTTGCATTCTGTTGAGTAACACAAAACTTACTGCTTGAGTAGGACATCAAAAGAGCCTTTTCCAAGCTGCTCATATCTACTGAAGCTAGCGATTGTTACATCAACTGCTGAGACATTTAGTAGCTAGCCTTCCTTAATCAGTAACTCACTTTTTCAGCTATTGGTTCTCTTCATCAAGTGCCCTGCCTTGATCTCTTCGGCTTCTGATTCACTGACTTTGTACTTTAGTTGGTTGGTCCTTTAATCTCTACTTATCAATTGACTTTGATCATCAGTTAATCAGTTAGTGCTTGACCGGTAACTAACCCGTAAATATCCTAACTCCTAAGTGTTTTCACATATGATTTGTCACTCAACGAAGCTAAAATTTCATACCTAACATGGTTTAAAACTCCCATTGTTGATGATTGAGCAAACCCCTCGTACGGAAATTTGAAATACTTTGAAGCTCGCTTGATGGAGTATTTTGTTATACACTGATGGTAAATTGGTTGTATTTCTTGAATTTGCTGAAGGATTATAATCTCCACAGGCTTTCGAGAGGCCTGGGTTTCTCCCAAAACAGTTTCCTGCTCAAATGAATTCACAAAACAGAATGCCCCTCCCTCTAATCCCCACCTATTTATACTATCCCCCTCTATTGACTCATTGACCTACTTTACTCATCGACCGACTTTACCACTTGACCCCAGGGTATAACTATACCCGCCCCCAACACACACCTTGTCCTCAAGGTTGAAAAAATAGGAATAACTACTGTTGGTGGTGGTGGTAATGGCGGCGGCAAATGCTTTGGATGATCATCTCCCAACCTAGCTCTCCCTTTAATGAATACCCCTACTGAGTCTGTTGACAACCTAAAAGTTTAAGTTAAGTTTGGCACATGGCTGGGCCACATCAACATGGGCCAAATTGAGAGGTTAGAGCTGGGGTTGTTGTGAGAGCAATTTTTTTATTCAACTGGGTTTGGGTTCCAGCGACCCATTTCGTTGTGGTCCTCCTCCTGGTTATGCTCGACGATGGTTATGTTCAACGATGGATCACCATCATCACACTGCAAGGACAGAAGCATCGTCGACCACGGTGTTTGTAGTGGGGAAGATGGCAGCAACGCGCCACAGTCTCCTCTGACTCTCCCATCGAAACCATCTCGATGCAATTCCTTCGACAAACTCGATGAGACTTCTAGTTGCTCTTCGTTGTTCAAACCTTTTAGGGAAAAATAATTCTCCGCCTGTAAAATCCACCGATTGGAATTACTGCCCTGAAAGATGAAATTTCTGGTTTATGATTTTCAAATGCTATGGATCGACTCAATTCAGCACCTCCTCTTTTCTTCTCTGCAACCTTAATCAGCCTATCGATCTGCTTCATCATTGTCTGCATACTTTCCTTCATCGAACCAGTGTCCGTTTCCAAAGCATCCAATCGGTAAGCCACGCTTCGATCCATAGCCATTTCAGACTCAAAATTCGGATCTTATTCTGGATTCAAGTCTGGATCTGATTTTGGATTCATTTTCGGATCTGGATCTGGACTTGCATTTGGATCTAGATACAGATCTGGACTCTGATTTGGATTTAGATACAAATCTGGATTCGGATTTGGATACAAACACAGATCTGGATTCGGACTTCGATTCAGAGGCAAATCAGGATTGGAACTGAAATTGTGTTCATCCTCGGATCTGGATAATTTTCGACTTCAAAGGCAGCAATACTTTCCATCATCTCTTGCGCGATAACGAGTATGCTCGTGGTCAGAATGACTGCTCTGATACCATTTGTTATACGCTCATGGTAAATTGGTTGCATTTCTTGAATTTGCTCAAGGATTACAATCTCCACAGGCTTTCAAGAGGCCTGGATCTCTCCCAAATCGGTCTCCTGCTCAAATGAATTAACAGAATGCCCCTCCCTCTAATCCCCTCACCTAATTATACAATCCCCTCTATTGACTTATTGATTGACTTTACCACTTGAACCCAGGGTACAACATATTTCGTTGGCACGAGATGGTGATTTCTAAAATTCAGTCAATCATAAAATGCAAGGTCCTAGGAGAGCCCAAAACTAGGGTTACTATTATTGATTCGAGCATTTAACGAGCTTCTCAAGCTCGAGCTTAGCAATTCTCGAGATCGAGTTGATCTCAAACACAAAATAAAACTCGTTTAACTTAAGGAGTCAAGCTTCATATAACACCAATGTTTGACCGGGCTCGTTCTATAGCTCGATTAACATTTTCTGGTTGATCCATACAAGCATAAACTTTTTCAATCCAAACATGTTCATATGTTAAGTCACACACACCATACAATCAGAATATAAAAATTAAAAAAAGTTGTTGCTAGTGCTAAGCTTAAAGCTCGAGCCGATCGATGAATTAATCGATCTAGTTCGAGACATAACAAACTTATAAATATTAAATGTTTAGGTCATAATAAAAATCGTTAAACGAGCATTTGGCTCAAGCTCACACATTGAAATTAATATACGAGCTTTAACTCGAGCACCATTTTTAAAAAATTATTCGAGTTTGAACCCTGATATTATTTTCTAGGGTCGGTCCCAATAAACTTACTACTCGACTCGACTTGTTACACCCTTCCCAAAACTTCCCGACACTGACACCATGCTAAAATCCTTGATATTGGTCTTGAATAAGTTTAGAGTTACCATGCATAATTAGTAGGGTTTTCCTTCAAGTAACTAATATTCATTGGCCATATTATATCTATTTTAGATGGAAAAGTGCTAAAGTTAATATAGGAGGTGGAGCCAGACATTTTCAAGATAAAAATGCGTTGAAAAAATGTTTGCATATATAGTTTTTTTATGACTAGTTATAAGATCTCTATAGTGAGTTAATTTATTTTTGTGGTTAATTTTGAAAAAAGCAAGTTCAATGGTACATTGGTGGATAGATATGGAATACAATAAAAAGATATTGAAAAAAAATTTAGATGGATGGATGTGATTGTTTGAATCTACAAATAATATTCTTTACCATTCTAGTATCTTGTAATCTAAGATTTTAATTTTTATTTATATTGAAATTATGTTAATAGTTCGTATAGGCGTTACGAATGGACGACATTGGTCTTACTACACAAAAAAGATATTGTTGTACATATGATTTTCAACAATCATCAAATCCTAAGATACTCCTCTAAGTCGAAACCCTAGTTTCGCCGAACCCTATTTTCGCTGAACCCTAGTTTTGCTGAAACCCTCTCTAATGCTTTCGCTTGCTCTCGTCCATTGAGATAAAGGAAAGGAAGATATTTCGCGGTTGATCAATTTATCGGAGGTATATATCAGGTATTGATGTTGAAACAAACACAATTGAGGGAGGGATACCTTTTTTCGGGCGATCTTACGAAAGCAAGCAAAATTTGATATATAGATGGATATTTTTATTGAGATAAATCAAATCTGTATTAAAGATAGCTAAAATTATGAGGAACAAAGATCTAGAAGTTCTGTTAGATAAGAAGGTCCGTACTAGGGTACTCGCTTCTATGCTTACTTGTAAAATTTGCAACAAGCTTATCAAGGAAAGCACTGCCATCGCAGATTGTCTTCATTCTTGTAAGTTCATCGTTTTCCTCATTTTATCCTTGGATGTGTATGATTTTGCATAACTCTGTACATGTTTATCCACTTACAAGTTCTTGGACTCTTAATATGTTATGATGCTTTTATCCTCCGATGTTGTTATATTTGATTTACCCTTTTTACTACCATGTAAGTTTTTGAAGTTGTGCACATATAACTTTCAATCAAATGGGTCTTTTCAGTTGGAATATCTATGTTTTTAGTAAAATTAAGTATTTACTCTTAAATGGCTTGTCTATTTGTTCAATACTTCAATTTTACGAAGACCATATGATTTCTTCTCTTTTGTATTTGCTTATTCCAATTTATAAAGTTCTTTAGTTTACTCATTACTTTTTTTGGCTTGAAGATATAGATTCACATTTTGTGAATTAGGAATGTGCACAACTCGGCTAAAACCAAATAAATTGAACAAACCAAAGTAATTTGGCTGGTTTGGCCAATTTGGGAATTTTCTATTTTTCCATCGAATTTGAAAATTTGAAACTGAGTCGTTTGGTTTAGCCACTGGTTTGTATTGTAGTATTTAAAAGTATAATTAGATATTGGCTTGTTGTGCAATGGTTTGCTCCAGTTACATATTTTCCTATAGGACAAATGTTTGAATCCCCTGTCCTCTTTTAACTTTTTAAGCAATTTAGTTTTGCCTCTTTCGTTGTAAATCATAGTTCACATGTTTAGATGAAGTATACACATTTTAAAGTTACGTGTTTAAGTTAATTTGCTTTGGTTTTTTACATGAATGGGTTATGTTCATATTTAAATTATGATGCATCTTCTTTGAATACAATCATGTTTCAATTTATTACACATTGAAAGAATGTGTGGAGACATTTTCTATTAGTTCGAAAAGTAAGGAAGATGTGAAAGTTCATATTGCCAATCAACATCATAGCTATTTATTTGATAGGAAACTATGCAATCCTTGGTTTTTTATAATGTTTTGACATGATTTTTCAACATATATATTGTATATACATGTATGGCAGTTAGAGTGTGTATTTCTATGTGTAAATAATCATTTTCCTTTTTGGGCCTAAAACATCAAACCAGTAGAACCAAACTATTTTGTGGTTGGTTTGGTCGGTATGGCTAAGCCTGTAATGCCATATGCTGAGGGTATTTCTACCATAGCTACTAACATCACCCAGCTATTGGCACTCCAATTGTCTCAACTGTCGGTGACACTTCAATAGCATCAGAAGCCTTAAAAACTGATGATGATAATGATGCCCCCGGGACTCGACCAACAATGGAGGACATTCAAAACCATCTAAGGAACATCAATAACTCCCATCAAGTTTAAAAACATGGCCAATGTTCAGAGAGAATATCTGGCATGGACTTAACACACTACATCATAGAGCTACTGATTAAGTGGTATCAATTTTCAACACCTAACAGTCTACCATATCCATACTTCAGACTTAAGTATGGACTTTGCTTGCTGTTCCAGCCCCTCTATCTCCACCTCTTGAACCCAAAGTTGCGGATTTCCAAGCTACAATGGCTACCCTCATCTCCAAAGTTTCTACTCTCACCAATGAGGTCAGACTCTTGGACAATAGGGTTGACTCCTTCAAATCGGGTCTAAAGGGTGACTAGACCCTTGTCAACTGCATAATCACCTCAACTCTCCTTATCTCAAAGCCCATGAATTGATGATTCCAAAAAGGGGAGAGAAGATAAGAGAAAAAAGATGAGGATACAAAGTCAATGAATCAGCGGCTGCAAAACCACCTTCAGCTACTGAAGAAGCTCCTCAAGCTAAAGAGAGGTTAGATGTTAATGGGGATATCGCCACTTAAGATGCTCCAGCTGGCTCGACACTTGTCTTGCATGTCATACCTCTCAACCAAGTCCCTGTAGCTGAAACTGAAGTTCTAGCTACCGACTGATTCAACTTTGGCGCTACTTCTCTGAAGTAGAGAAGGCCAAAAAACTATTCACTGAAATACAGACTACAGTAGGTGGATATTTGACAGAAAGTTGGCATTAAAAATGCAAGAAGTTTTGGCTGCCAAAATAGAAGAGGAAGCTAGCAGAAGATGTAGCTGCTAGATCATCATCCAAGCACAAAATGAAAGGTGCTCATCCCAGGATTACTAATACAACCACAAAGCTAATCCAAAAAACTAGGAAAGCTAGCATCAAAATTACAAGGGAGAATGGTCGCTCTAAGACATTGATTGAGGAGTAGCTGAGACAAATCCCTCAGGGTGATCTCCTGAACATCAAGTACTAAGTGGCTAAGAGCAAAAGCATCTATGCCAACGTTGTCACTAGTTGGTGAATGATCTCTTGGCTGCTCACAAAAAATCAAAGACGAGAGAAGCACACCTTGAGAATGTTAGACAAGACCTTGTTGAGTTTCAACATGCTAAGTGAGAACCTATATGAAGATCCACACGGCCTTCGTAACATGTTCACAGGTAAGCTCGCATATTTGCATGAACAAGTAGATGGATGGCTTGCCACTTTTCACCAACAAATGGAGATGAGAATAGATTGAGGCCTATGTACAAGGGACATGGTTAGCCAAATGGACACCACTATGACTATCCAAAGAAATCAAAGTCCCAGTTACTACACCATTTATGGGAAAAGTAGAAGATAAGGGCGTTCAATGGGCGCTACCGCGGAGATCAAGTTAGGGGGAAGGAAATCAAGGGCCTATTAGACATGGGATACGTCGGAGCATTAAAGGCCCTTTGTGGTGCACCAATAGTATTCCAAGGAAGAAGGATGGATAACTCCACATTTAATCAACTATCAAGTGCTAAACTGGTAACCATCAGGAACAAGTACCCAATTTCTCTTGGTTTTTGACCTCTTTGACCAAATTGGCTAAGAAGGATACTTCACCAAGTTGGACTTTTAATATAGGTAATACGAGGGAAGGCTCGACAAAGATAATGAAACAAAATAACATGCATAATGAGGTATGATTCTTGAATTCGTAGTCATGTCATTTGGTTTAGCTAACACCCCATTAATTTTATACCTCCATAACCAAATTATTTCATCCAATCCTTAACAAGCTCGTCATAATATGATTAGATGATATTGCCATCTATGTAAACATAATTGATGATCATGTTACACATATGCAATTGGTTTTCTTTGTACTAGGCAACAATGAGCTTTATATTAGGCTAAAGTACTTTTTTTTTCTCTAAGAAGAGTTGGATTCCTTGGAAAGAATCAAGGTGAGCAAGAGTGGAGGCACCACCCGAGGTAATGGACTAGTGATCTTTACTTGATGTTGTGAACTTATAAAAAAATAATCATACAGCTGTTTGGAAAAGAGCCCTTGATCGATTTTTTTCAAGAAGAACAAGGCTTGCTGAACCCTACCGGTTAGAAGACTTGATTGACAAACAAATATAATAAACACTTGGCTAATTGGGTTAAAGATGGAATGTTCCATTTATAGGCACTACCGCTGATAGAGATTAGCTGATAAGGTTGTGTCAACTGATAATGTAACTGCCGTTGATAAGCTCAAGAACAATCCTACAAGCAAATGATTCGACCAGAGACTATTAGACAAAAATAGGAGCTGATGCTGCCAAGTGAGGTATTTTAATTAAGATCAATGCATAAGTGTTGAACATTTGATGAAGATATTAGATGGAAGCCTAGCAACTAATCAACACAGACTCATTGACGAAGCGACATGTGACGAGTTGCTCTCTTGCCACAAAAGTCAACGTGGTAAGGACATCAAGCATGCTTAGCATTTAATGCAGTGTGATATTCATTAAATTCGGCATATTTAGTGCTAAATGCGTTATGAGTGTCATTACCTTAACGGAGGAGACAAGCAGCACTTGCTGAAGAACATGGTAAAGCAAATCTCCGAAGGACGATCTTCTGATGATCTGGCATCATGCCAATTGTCCACAGATTGAAGAATGTCTACTATAAGTACTAGACCTTGAAGAAAATACGCAGAAAACAAGCTTTCATCAGAATGTCGTGCAATTTTCAAGCTCACAAGTTCATCTAGTGATCACTCAATTTCCAATGCAACTTCACTACTTGGGTAGATTAGCATTCTAGGTTGTGTGAGAACTTCGTATGGAGTGATAAAGAGGAAAATACATTTGTCATAGCGGAGAAATTGTTGTAGGATTTTCATCGCCTGCTATCTTTAGTTTATGTTCATCTAGTGATCACTCATTTTCTTTGGCACCCTTTGAGTGCATCATTCGATTTCTGGTTTGCTATCCTTCGTCCTAAGTTCTACATTCTCTCTTCTGGTTCGTGATTTATTTGAAGATGACTGGAGAAGACAAAACATCGGACAGTAACAATAGTTTACGTGTACCCGAGATTCTTCCAGTAAATATTAAGCTCACCGACAACAAGCTTAATGGCTCCAACTACTTTAAGTGGAGCAAAACTATTCGTATCTATCTTCGGATAATGGGAATGGCTTCTCATCTCACATCGGATCCTCCTAAAGGTAACGAAACTGATTCATGGTTCCAAAGTGATGCTCGTTTGTACTTGCAAATTATCAATACTATTGAGTCTTCTGTCTCGTCTCTGGTTAGTCATTGTGAATATGTGAAGGAACTTATGAATTATCTTTATTTTTTGTATTCTGGACAAAGTAACATCTCTCGGATCTATAGTGTTTGTAAGTCCTTTCATCGTGGAGAACAACAGAACCGATCACTCACTACGTATGTCATGGAGTTCAAGAAAGTGTATGAGGAGCTTTACTCTCTTCTTCCATTAAGTGATGATGTCAAAGTCATGCAGACTCAGAGGGAACAAGTGGTTGTTATCAGTTTCTTGACCGATTTGCGACCAGAATTTGACTCTATCAGATCTCGGTTCTTGAATGAATCTACTATTCCTTCTCTTCAAGAAACATTTGTCCTTGTTCTTAGGAATGAGAATCTTCAGGCTTCTCAAACTTCTGATCACAACAGTGTCTGGTTGGTTGAGGGGGATTTCGTGGGGGTCACCGTGGTGTCTCTAAAGGTGGCCACAGTGACCGAACAACTGACTCACGGGTTACTATTCCAGATTCTGATAATGTTGAGTCTTACTACTGCCATGAGTTAGGTCACACCAAGCGCACATGTAAGAAGCTTTTGGCCAAACATCTGAGTTCATCAGCGCACGTTGCCTCTACATTAGATAGTACTGTTACTATACCCGCAATACTCGACTTTTAGGGACTGAGAATTCCACTGCTCCGACTGCTGCATTTGCTGAGACAGGTAACTCTAGTATCTGCGTATTATCTTCTGCCTCTAAATGGGTCATTGATTTAGGTGCTTCAGATCACATGACAGGTAATCCCACCATCTTCTCTAATTTCAATAAACACAAATTCCCATCACATGTCACAATTGCTGACGGGTCTACCACATCTGTCCTTGGTTTTGGCACCATCGATCTTACCCCCTCTGTTTCGTTATCTTCCGTATTGAGCCTGCCTAATTTCTCGTTCAATTTGTTATCAGTCAGCAAAATTACCCGTGCTTTAAGTTGTTGTGTCTCATTCTTTCCTGATTTCTTTGTCTTTCAGGATCTGTCGACGAAGAGGATTATTGGTAGAGGGCGGGAGACTGATGGCCTATACATATTTGAACATCAAGTACCTTCCTCATTGATTTGTTCCAGCTCATCATTAGTTCATTGTCGATTAGGTCATCCATCTTTACAGAATTCGAAGAAGTTGTGTCTTGAGTTTTCTTATTTACCTTCTCTATAGTGTGAGTCTTGTCAGTTTGCCAAACATCAGTGTATTCATTTAAGTTCTAGAGTCTATAATAAGTAGGCCTCATCCCCATTTGAGTTAAGTCCATTATGATGTTTGGGGACCATGTCTTGTTACTTCAAAACTTGGGTTTAAGTATTTTGTTACGTTTGTTGATGATTACTCTCGCACTACTTGGCTTTACTTTATGAAAAATCGATATGAGGTATTCACACATTTTTGTTCATTCTATGCTGGAGATTAAAACCTAGTTTAAAGTCTCCACTCAAACTCTTCGTAGTGATAATGCGTAAGAATATTTGTCCCAAACATTTCAGTCATATATGATCCAAAATGGCATTCTTCATGAGTCTTCCTGTGTTGACACACCAGCCCAAAATGGGGTTGCGGAACGAAAGAATCGTCATCTCCTATAGGTGGCTCGAGCTTTATTATTCCACATGACTGTTCCTAAAATCTTCTGGGCTGATGCGGTTTCTACGGCTTGTTTTCTTATCAACTGAATGCCTTCCATTGTCTTGGATGGTAAAAGTCATTTCTTAGTTTTGTTTCCTACACAATCATTGTTTCCTATCGACCCATGGTAGTTCCTATTTTGTCCGGGATACCCGACCTTATAACTAAGTTGGATCCAAAGTCTCTGAAATGTGTCTTTCTTGGTTACTCTCGACTTCAAAAAGGGTATAAGTGTTTTTCCCCCATGCTTAATCGATACATTGTATCAAGAGACATTACATTCCATGAGAATATACCCTTCTTTCCTATGTCCACTCCTTGCAAGCCATGAGATAGCGATGATTTGTTGGTGTATACCATACCTGTTCCTGAGTCTATTACCCCATCCGACTCGACATAGACCCAAGAACCTACTAAATCACCGATAGTTCATGTATATAATAGACGGCAACGACCTACATCAAATCTCGACCCAACACCATCTTCATCATCGTTTGCAGATCCACCTAACGATGATCCTCTTGCTTCGAGTGATCCACCACCTTCCAATACACAGGTTCTGATCTTCTTGTTCTCATTGCTCTTCGGAAAGGTAAGCGCTCATGTACTTACCCTAGTTCTTCCGTTGTTTCCTACTTTCTTATGATAAACTTTGTTTACATTCTCGTTCTTTGATCTCTACACTTGATTCTTTATCTGTTCCTAAAGCGGGTGGTGAAGCTTTGGCCCATCTTGGATGGCGGGATGCTATGATTGATGAGATGAATGCTCTTGATCATGATGATACATGGGATTTGGTAGAGTTACCTGCAAGCAAAAAGGCAATTGGCTGAAATGGGTATTCACTGTGAAACTTAATCCAAATGGATCCGTGGCTCGTCTGAAAGCCTGATTTGTAGCCAAAGGATATGCTCAGACGTATGGGGTTGACTATCACGAGACATTTTCTCCTATGGTTAAGGTACCCTCCATCCGCATGTTTGTTTCATTAGCCGCTACTTACGATTGGGTACTACACCAAATGGATGTGAAAAATGCCTTCTTTCATGGTGATTTACACGAGGAAGTCTATATGGAGCAACCACCTGGGTTTGTTGCTCAGGGGGAGTCTGGTAGAGTCTGTAAACTGCATAAATCATTGTATGGTTTAAAGCAATCCCCTCGTGCTTGGTTTGGACGATTTAATGTTGTAGTGACTAAGTTCGGCTTACGAAGGAGCTCTTATGATCATTATGTGTTCTTTACTTCGTCATCTTCCATATGTATTCTACTAGTGGTATACGTTGATGACATTGTGATTACTGGGAGTGATGAGACTGGGATCAAAAAGCTAAAAGATTTCCCTGCGTCTCTGTTTCAAACAAAGGACCTAGGTTTTTTAAAATACTTATTGGGAATTGAAGTATCTCGTACTTGGAAAGAGATTTGTTTGTCTCAACGGAAATATTGTTTGAATATATTGAATGACTCTGGAATGATTGAAACAAAACCTTGTGAGGCCCCAATGATTCCAAATATGAAATCAAAAGCGGACGACGAAGATCTACTTGAGGATCCAGAAAAGTACAGAAAAATTGTGGGAAAGCTAAACAACCTGACACGATTACACGTCCTGACATCGCATTTCCAGTGAGTGTAGTAAGTCAGTTTATGTCATCTCCGAGAACTGCACATTGGGACATTGTTAGGTATATACTGAAGTACCTAAACGGTGCTCCTGGTCTTGGTATCCTTTATCAAAATCACGGTCATCATGTCATAGAAGGGTTCACAGATGCCGACTATAATGGGGACCTACTACTAGGCGGTCTACGACAGTCTATATTGGGTGTTGGTTGGAGGGAATCTAGTTTCGTGGAAAAGCAAGAAACAGAATGTCGATTCCCGATCAAGTGCTGAATCTGAATACAGGGTTATGGCCCAAACCACTTGCGAGCTGATATGGTTGTGTAATCTGCTAGGTGAAATTGGGTTTGCTCAATCTAAACCATTGAATCTATATTGTGATAATGAGGCGGTTATCCACATTGCAAACAATCTCGTGTTTCATGAAAGAACAAAAAACATCTAGGTTATTGCCATTTCACTAGTGAAAAGCTAGAAGATGGAATCATCTCAACTCCCTTTGTTCGAACAGAAAGACAACTTGCTGATGTCTTTACCAAAGCATTACCTGGTTCGCGAATCTCTTTTATTTGTAACAAGTTGGGCATGATTAACATCTATGCTCCATCTTAAGGGGGAGTGTTAGAATGTAAATACGATATATATTTACTTTAGGCCCATTAAGCCCATGTTGCCATGGGTCCCTTAGGGTTTCTCTTTTGTCTAGGTTTTCTGTCTATATATATCCTTGTATCCTTTGTAATACACAAGTTAAAAGCAAGAATATAATCCCTAATTACATGATCTAAAATGGGTAGATTACCCAACGATAAAGAGGATGTTAGTGATTATAGAGCCACGTTATTGGTTATACATGATGAAAAATGTCAACACACTCGCATAAACATGCTTGGTATGCCAACAAGACAAGATTAAGGAATGGTAACTCAAAAGGATTGTTATAGTCATTGCTAACATTTGAGGGTTCATGAGTCTCCATGGATTCCAGTACTTGCTTGCCAAACCCAAAAGGATGTAAGAGTATTGTTATGCTAGTATATTGATTCTCGAAGCATGGTACATTTATACATGCGTCAACTAATAGCATGATCAACAAGATGACCCAGCTACTCTTTAAGCATGTGCTCAAGTATTGAGGTGTCTTTCAAGTGATCACGAGCAATAAGAATCACCATTTTGTGAGAAAACTCGGGATGAAATTAATTTAGCAGACAATGAAGATCCCTCAAACTTCTCAACAAGTTTACAACCCTTAATATATGGCCAAGTAGAGCTATCATCATCCTATAAAAGCTCTATTTATGAAATATACAAGTGCCAACCAACACAAATGGGTTAAGCTCATGGTCGTGGTACAACAATCATATAACCAACAAATTAATGAAGCTAACATGGTGGATTATTCAGTAGTGTCACTAGGCAAGCAACCTTTGACTCTAAATGCCTTAGCCATAATGTAAAAAGGAAACAACCTACAAGAACATGAATGAATTGCATGATCAAGCCCACTTAACTTAATGTCACGCACTGCAGGAAGGTTTCTCGAGAGCTCGGATAAATCTAGACACTTTAAGATTATGGTGGAACTTTGAAGAAAAACGAAGAAAGTCTAAACATGTTCCTAGAAAACTCCACACCATGTTAGGGACTATGTAACTAGAACCTTCCATGTAGACAGGAAATAAAGATGTAAGCATTATGGTTAGACTCGAGGACGAGATGGGTGTCGCCGTCAAAATCCCAGGCGAAATGACATGAGAGAAAGAACCTCTTGGTGGAGTCCAGTCCCTGGGCGGCTCTCGGTTCTTGAGCATGTTGGGGGATTAGGCGGCAGTTGAAAGAAGACTCGAAGCAAAGTTGTGCCCAATCAAAGAAGTTGATGGCTAATCTAGACATTAGAGTAGTTGAAATTGAGACTTCAACCGGAGGATTGAATAAATTAATGATATAGATCAGAGTTTCCACCAACAACTTGGTATGTTGGAGGCAACAAAAAATGGAAGTTAGAGAAAATGATATCTTATGAAAAGAATTTCACAAAGAAGTTCATGAAATTCGAGGCATCATCCAAAAGTAGGTTAGCAACCTTTCACTGATGAGTGGATTGGATCAAAGATGAGCAATCCGTTACCACAAGGTGCGAGACAATGTGACAACTATTGTCGAAGCCAAATTGATCGGAGAACTTAATCGGGAACCCAAAGAAAATGAAAATTACGACAATAGAAGTGGGGGAGAGAAAATGTCCATGGTTAAAACTCAAAAACGAAGCCACATAGAAAACCCTTATCAAAAACTGGAAAGAAAAGATTTCCGAGGAGCATCGAAGCTTGTTAAATGTTACATATCTGATGGACCCATTGAATCAAATAGTGCCGAAAGAAATTTGAGTTCCATGTCAAGGAATCTCAAATGGTGTTGAAAGAGCAAGGTATTCAAATGAGTATATACAAATCCTAAATGCAATCCTTGCGAAGGCCAAAGCACTAAAGACATTGATGAGAGGACTTCAAAACATGAAAGTCGAGATAAATGGCATGTTAGTTTAGGATCTTGTTGACATGGTTGCCATCCAAAATGTTATAGCCGACCAAGGATGAGGTCAGGAAACTTGGAATCTGAGTCATGAAAGGGGTGGTTTCATGACAGAAGTAAACTCAAAGCCTAAACCTATTTGTGGAGCTGTAAGAAATGTGAAAATCGAGAGTGGTGATTGGAAAACATGGTAGGCTTATTGGTGATCCCAATGGATGTCTATAAACTCATACTTGGGTTGGCGTTTTGACAAGAAATGAGCTTTTACTACACCTTTCCCAACTCATAGCAACCAAAGGAGGCATTATGATCAAAGCCAAGACATTCTCAGCCATATAGTTTGAGAAAGGGATATGAAATCCCAAATCAAAGGAAAATTACAAGATTGAGATGATAACCACACCTCAACAGCCTGTGGAGGAGCACTATCATGTCACATTTGGAGGGTTGGAGAAGGTCGTCACAAAAGAAATCAGTGACAAGACTGCCTGGTATCATTCCACCCTTTAAATTAAACTCGGTGCACAAGGGGAACGAGGCCTCAAGACGTGTTCATCTAAGAGCCATGAGGGGAAAGGGAAATTTATGAATACAAAATGACTTGAAGCCTTCTAGAACTCCAATTACTTTCTAGTTCTTGGTATGGTCCATAAGAACATAGTGCACAAATCATCCCCAAGCTTTCTTTTGTCTTAAAGTAAACAAAACTCACCTATGATTAATTTATTATATATCCATTTCAGATACATACTTGAGACAGTGGACGGTTGTTTCTTATGGAATGCAAAAACTATTTCTTCTCTTAAGCGTAATGCTTTTCATTGCAAAAATTTGTTTGGGGTAAAGAGCTAGATTAAGGATATGAAAATGATCAAGTCACAGACTTTGGCAATGTTGCAAACTAAAGAAAATGTAGCAATAGATACTTGTCTAATATTCCATTAACAAGTGAATCAATTCATGTTAGTAACCTCTCTCTGCATTTGTGCACATGTGTGTTTCAATTCTTCCATCTTTTTAATAAACATATGTAAAACTCCTTTAGATTACTCTCTAAAAGAGTCATTAAAAAAGAAGGCAGATTCCAACATATATTGTGAAGAAGTGGTCCAAGTTTAGCCGAAATGGGACTCTTATCATCTTCCAAAATCGAGAAATTGTGATCTTGCTATGCATTTTTTTACTGAGCTATATCTAATGTTTTTTCTTTTAATTTTTTCCATTTTCTGTATGAAGTGCTCTGTAGCTTTTGTTTTTTTTTTTATCAACTTCAATTTGCCTTTCTTTTCTGTAAATATATAGTTTGCCAAAAATGTATCTACAAGAAGGTATTCGAGGAGAAAAGTCGGAAATGTCCAGTTTGCAACGTGGAATTCAGCGATCCTCCTGCAAAAGTACTAAGGTACATACATATGTTACTCTTGAAGTATATCAATATGTGATTGCCATTCCTAAAAGTTACATTTTTAGACACATATTTGTGGAATGTTGGTAATAGAATCTGAAAATGGAACATGATATTCAATTGAACATCCGAGTCCAATTTTTTACATTACGTTTTACACCAATCCATTTCAACTCAACAGTAGTTGTTGCTCCCTTTTGGTGTTGGTGAATAGTGTAACACCAAACTTGGTGTGTTTAACAGTTCATTTACGCCAATGCAGTGTTAAACTATTTTTAATTACAAAACCGTTATTCAAGTTTGATATTGATGTAATTTTGTTTATCGATTGTAAATGATATTTTGATTATAATAGTTGTTAATATCACATTATTAATTTATGATATTTAATAAATTTTATATTTATGTTTCAAAGTTATTTAAAGGTGTGTTAATTTACCTTTTTAATAAAATGATAATTAATTTGTAATCATTATGTATGGATAATTTATTTTGGTTACAATTGTGTAATATTACAATCTTATAAAGTTATTGTAACAAAAAGAAATTACCATGTCGAATTTGTAAACAACTAATAAATATAATGGTACATTGAAAATTTATATAAGTTAGGAATAAGAAACATACTTGAAATATTCTATTTGATGTTAAAAATAGTGTTATGTGTTAGAGAAGAATTACTGTTTGCATTAATTCACACAATTTTAATGCAAGAAATGATACAATGCGATTAAGGATGGTCTTAATTAAGGTCACAGCGACATTTTTCTAGATTATTTGAAGTCTCGATACTGTTGTTCACCTCCAAGATCGGATGTAATCACAGAGTGGTGTTCTTTTTGGAAGTTATCAACCAAATAAACAAGATTGATGTTAGAGGTGGTAGCAAACTTAATAGAAATATTAAGCATTACTATAGTGTATATGGCAGACAAACAAATAAAAACTTAGTTTAATTTATATAGACAATTTAATTCATAAAGGCTTTAATGGAAAAACAAACAAACAAACAAACAGCCCATGAATCACAGTTTTGATCTTTAGTTGTAACTTTGCAGGCCCGATGCCACAATGAGAAGTCTCAAGGTAAGTTTGTTGGGTGTTCACAAGCGAACACCCGAGCAGAGAGCAGAAAGTAAGAGGATCAAATTTGAAAATATGCAATCATCTAATGATCAAGCAAAAAAGGTAGTGATGCATTTTTGTAATGCTTTCATGATGTCTAAATATTCTATTAGACTGCATTTTAGAACTTAAGTTTATACGACCAAACAGTGTGTCCACTATATAAATGTGTTACAATAGGATGTTAGAACGTATTTCGATATCCTAACAAGGTTTGTAGAATAATAAAATTTCCTATTACCTTTTCTACATATGACACTTTTAATATAAAAACAATGTCATATAAACAATCTTTTCATAGGACGTTGTTTTTATAAGCCACTTTTTCAAATAATGCCGTATAAAAATATTAATAAGACGTTTGATTTCGCAAGTGTTCTAAAGAACTTGTTAGAGGGTCCTATCAAATTATTGCAACACCTATACATATTATGCCCAACTGAGTGGTCCTATAAAGCAGTCTATTAGGACCACTTAGACATATTTGACGTACTGTAAAGCCGATTTCATTGTAGTGTGAATCTTTCAGAAACAATCATTTATGATTCTTTTCTTGGCTTCTACTTTCATGTTTTGCATGAAGCCTCAATCTACCAAGAAGCCCATGATCACCTGGACGGACAAGACAAAGGAGAAAGTTATCGATAAGCCATTGGAAGACGAACACATTTCGGTATCCTAACATGTTTTTGAGAAATAAATGTCATATTAGCTTTTTATAGGAAAATTTTCGAAATTATCATATGAACATATTTTTTAAAGAACACTTGTTTTTACAAGCCACTTTTTCAAATAATGTCATATTAAAAAATTAGTAGTGTCCTGAAAAACATGGTAGAAAGTCTTATATATGTATTATATACAATGGTTCCTGTGAGAAATGCCAATTTTTGTAAAAATGTCATTTTCTTTGAGAAGTGTCATTTTTTGTGAGAAGTGTGAGAAATGTAACATTCACATAATATATGTAAATGTGCATGTATGATAGCGTGATAAACAATATAAGGGTATATTTAGCACTTCTCATGCTTCTTACTGAAAATATCTTCTTTTTCACGTGATAAACAATTGTTTGGTCCAATAAAACATTCTATTATGACACTTAAGACATATTTGAAGTTCTATAAAGCCGATTTCGTGGTAGTGTGGATCTTTCATAAAGTTAATGATCGTTCATTATTCTTTTGTTGGCTTAAACTT